TGGGATGGGATGGGATGGGATGCGATGGGATGGGATATGGCATGGAATGGGATGGATGCATGGATGCATGGATGGATGCATGGATAGATAGATAGTTAGATTTTTTTGGGTATTTTCCTTTCAACCAAGCCGTCACCAACTGAGTAACGCCACTGATTTCCCCGGGCAATGCCGGGTATCCCGCTAGTAATATATATATATTTATATATATATATATACAACACCTCTGATCATCCCTTAGCTACGGGCCTGTGTTATTACTATTCCACCTATCTACCCACACTTCTTTTACATCTTGATTCAACAAACCACAACACTCTGCAATTGCAGCTACGAGCTACACATCTATTCCCCTCCTACGTACATACACGACGCGCTGCGAGGTATACATTCGTACATACACGACCCTGCTGCGAGGTATACATACGTACAGCTTCAACACTGCCTGCACCTTCAGCCACGTCACCTCTGCCGTCAGAATGCAGAGGCGTGCGCGCATACTTGCGTCTGTACATTTCATCTATCTCTGTCAGATACCAGGTGCCAGGGAACAGGGCGTCTGGGTTACCCTGCGGAGAGTACGGAGCTGTTCGAAGACAAGAGAACATGTGCTTTAATCACCATGGAGATGCTACGCTTTACAACAATAACCTTCCAGCTACTCTAGAGGTTACGGAACATTCGCTTTGAAATGGTCTCGGTTTATTTATGATCTTTCGCATTAGGCTTGTGTATTTTATGTAATTCCTTGGTTCCCACCCCCAAGTACCATTGCATTTTAGGATAATTAAATGTGCGTGAGGTGGCACCTGTGGGTTGTTGTCAAATACAAAATTAGCCTTAGATCAAAATAGTTGTAATTTGTTGTATAAGTTTAAAAGTTACAAGAGGGTCTGGGATCTCACAATGTTAGAGGAAGTTTTAATTCTCATAATGTTACGATGTTTCTGTCAACGGTTTACGAGTCAAAGTTAATGTTAAGACTAATGTTAAGCCAACGATGCACATTACGATGTTTCTGACAACGGCCCCCCTGGTGGCAATGATGTGTACCTAAATGGTGGGTTTTCTCTCGTAGCTTCATCACAGAGTCGAATTCGGGTGGAGACAGCTTCGTGCGAGCAGCTAGTCTGTCCTCCAGGTTAGCTATACTGCCCACGAGCCTACCCAGGTAATTAAACAACGAGCAATGTTATTATGTTAGCTGAAAGAACATCAGTTGTTAACTTACACTTGCTTATTTAATACATCACATATAGACCCAGTTGTCTGCTGTCAATATGCATATCTCATCTACACATCTCACTATAAGCTATACATAACACGGACGTATTCCACACATCTAATCCAAAAACACCTAACAGGGGTCGAAATTAGCGGTATCCCGATATCCGCGGGATAGTAGATTCTTGTGTTGGATACCAGATTTCAATGCTTGGTATCCCGCCGGGATAGCAAAAAAAAATCATCAAAATCGGGATAGTGGTTGTTGAGTTATCAACTTTATACGGCAGCGCATCTGAGCGAGTGCGCGCGATCTGAGCGGGCTCAGGCACCCTTACTATGGCTCATAGGGTCTATGTCCCCCAGGGTACTGCCAGAACGTATCCTGGTCACTATTTGATATGGTTAGGGTTAGGATTAGGGTTAGGGTTAGGGTTAGGGTT